AAGCTCTAGGAAAATAAGTAAGCAGGGTAAAGAAGGTAGAAAATTGGCAACAGGAGTTCTGTCCTTATTAGAAATCAGACAATTTATACAAGACAGAGAATATAAAGGCCATCTAAGACAGAGTTTTAAACTTTCTTGTTATGACACCATCCTCCATCTGCTTGAAATACAAACGAATAGTAGACTAGGTGTAACTTAGCACTTATGAAACTTTAAAACTCTTGAATTATTTCTCTGTAAGAGCAATAGTTCTTCAGAACAAAGTATAAATGTTTCAGAAACACAAGTAAGAGATTTTTCCAAACTGAAATGATTTCACATCCTATCTTTCTCTCCATATGCACATACTCTTACACACCACATATACACTTCCTGCAGAATGAAACAATGCTGGATTCTCTTCTCAGCTTTGAACTTGGGACTGATACTCCATGGTAATACTGAAATTGTAGTGGAATTAAAATGGCCAGTGTGCTCTCCGACCTGTGGACCTGATCAACCTGGCCTATGGAAAAAAGTTGTCCAAAACCCACCATTGTTTAATTCTTTTTTGCAAATGCCCTTGCAACCTGTCCACCAGACAACAAAATGGAGCAATCTCTGGTCATGGGCACTGGACCTAGTGATGAAAACCATGCCCTGATGTAGACTCACAACATGGCTGAAATGCAGTCACCCCCTGTACCACGACCAGATGCTTGGCTGTTGCATAGCAGGGATCAGCAAAATTTTATGTGACAAGTGTACTTTCAGTTATGGTACGGGGCATTTAGTTTTCAAGTGCCTTTGTAAGAGGTTATGGGGCCTCCAGCTGAAAGGTTCGTGACTTCTTAGATGATATATTAAACTCCATTTACCTACCTATCCTGTGGCTACAAGAAAAGTCAACTTTCAGGATTCTGAGTGAGAAAAAAAAAATTAGTAACCTTTTCAGCTTCTCTAAAATAGCTTCTTTCATTAAAAGCCTTTCTCATACTAAACAGCATGTGTGAGGCTACTTCCAAGCACTGCTAACTGTTGGGTGTCACGGTAGATGTTGGTAAAATTAAATTTCAGTGTAATAGCTACAAAAAGACCTCACTAGGAGGCAGTAAAAAAACCCAAAAAACCCAATTTTGTCTTTAAACATGGAAAATATTATATTTTTCCAACAAAGTGAAAATTATAATCATTTAATAACTTAATATGAATATGAATGAAATCTACAAGTTACTTTAGTAATGAATGAGCACCCATCTTGAATGTGTGAAAATGGACACTTTGGCTTTAATCATTATTCAATACTGCGCACAGGACAGCTTTCAAAGACTGCCCTATCCATCTACTGCAGCCCATAATATCTTCCTGTATAGGTATGCTACATATGCTATATACATATATTATATATTTATACACACGTATAGCAATCATTTTGCCACTATCCAGTCCTAAGAGCTACACTTCTATGTATAGCTACAGGTCTGCAAATCACTTTTCATTGAACTAACTGCTGAATTGCTGAGAATGGGAGGAGAAGCGGGAGGGGATAGAGGAATTGAAGTAAACACTTATTACTTTTTTTAAATATTCTTTCTTTATCACCTTTCTTGTTCACAGCCACATCATACAAAATTTAACCATATATTCTATTATCTTTCTCTGTTTTTGAAGCCTCTGCTGTTAAGGAGATTTATAAGTGACTACAATTTGAGACTTAAGAACAGAAACCTTGGATTTTCACAGACAGATCCATATAAATAGTAGTTTTTCTCTTTTCCCATGCTTCATTTTTGGCAAGGTCTCAGCAGCCATTAACTAATAAACAGAACTCAAAATCAGCGTTTTAAATAATTTTACAGCTGTGATTACAAACTGCTTTCATTTAATACATAGGGTTGGTCTTTAGCAGTTCTCAAGGGAGTGACTGCTGAGATCATGCTAGACTTGAAAAGGATAAATTCAAAATCACCACCTGAATAGCATGATTTTAAGATACAATCTCTTTCAATGTGCAAAGACGATGCGTATGTGCTTGCTATCAGTGTAGGAATCTCAGTTTTATCAATGCAGGAATCTCAGTTTTCTGACAACTTAAGGCATCTGTAGCTAGAGCCTTGATGATTAAGAAATATGAGGCTTACAAGGATCGTTGCCCCTTTTACCTAGAACCTATGCTACCCTTTTGTAGCATAGGCAGCATTATACATCCTAGACCTATAATCAGTGTGGTACTCCTGGTTTAAAAAGGTGAGACAAATAATGAAAGAAAACTCAGACAGAAAGTAGGTGAAATTAAAAGAAAGGAAATAAAGTGAAAAATTGTGGGAGCAAGGGACCCAGAAAAATTAGAAAGGAGAAGAATCACAGACACTCTATTTTCAGTTTAATAAACTAGTCACTCATTCACCATATTCCAGCACTTCATATGCCTGTAAAGAAACAAATTGTGAAAGAAAGGATCCACTGAAACTTCTCCGAGAATGAGATCTCACCTTTCACACTTGGCACCCATCCAACCTTTTCTAACCACTGTAACTGGTGGCTTTGTAATCAGAGACTTTTTTGTGACACAACATACGTGTTAGTTTTTACTGTCCCCTGGATCTTCCAGTGCAAAGCCAATCCTGACAAACAGGGCACAAGATGAACTCTACAGGAAAAGCTTCTAACATCACATGAAGTTTCAGGAGGCTATACAGAGAACAAGCCTGCATGGCACTGCAGTGTGACATGGCTCTCCTTTCTTTCTTTAATTAAGGGAAATCTGTGTGGTCTACTGAAGCAGGCAGATAGCATCCCTTGAAATAATTTCATTAGTATACAAGGCTTTTGCTCTTTGGCATTCATTTTATATTTTTATTCCCAATTTTTGCCTGTAAATCTCCAATACTTCAGGTATATTACACCTGGCATTTTATCTCCAGAGTATGACAAATAGGTAGACATTTTAAAACACAGGCTAGCCTTCAAACCAGCAGTTTCAGGCACACTACATCTTAAAAACAAACAAAATAGACCCTCTGCTATATGTATGTAGCTTCACTTAAAAAAAAGAGTAACTTCTTTCAACAAATTTTTAACAGTTGAGAATTAATGAAATGAAATTTAGTAATCTCTTCTTTAAAAGACTGCTTCTAATTCAAAAAAGAAAATGCTTAGTCAATATTATCTCTTGAGAGAATTAGTACTATCATCTTTCATTAATTAGTATCAAACTCTATGCCACGAAATTGTTCTATAGAGAAGCCAACTATCTGCTTAATCACAAAAAAACCCCAGCATTTAGGCTAAACTTATTTGATAAACTGAATGAGTAAAGTAAGTGGTAGCTAACGTAAATGAAACCTAAAACTGAACTTTTCATTTTTGCAGTAACGTGTGTTGTACTAAGTAATTGAAAACACATCTTGATATTGACTTCAAATTAAAAAGTGGAAGAAGTTGAGATGCACAGAAATCCTTCTTTTGCTTTTAGGATGCTATTTATAATTTATCATTTTGTTTTATCATTTCTGCACTCACACACACAAAACCCAAAACAAAAGCAAAACTGATGTTCACGGCATTTCTAGATTTTGAACAATAACATTTTCTTTTAGTAGACTATTCTGGTGTGATCGTTACTGCAGAAAAGATAATACTCAAGGTAAAGAACAACAAAAGCTGAAGATCAAAACTGGCTACCAAGCTGAGCAGGCACTAGACTGGGACACTAATTTTCAAAACTCAAGTACAAAGCTACTTCTGCAAACTACACTCATACTTTTATAAATTAGTAATAAACACAAACTAATCTAGCATCCGTTCATGCAAATAGCTGGTTTTGAATGTCAAATATTCAAAATTACAAAAGTTTATCTAGTGAATTACACCTTTGTCCTTTGTTGACAGGCACAGGTGGAATTAACCTCAAGAAGAAACAAACCATATAATTTATGATATTGATACAGCAGAACAGATGACAAATATAGTTAGAAAAATATACTTAGTACAGTCATTTCATTACAGGCAAAAATAAAGGAAATTCATAAATGAATGGTAAAAATAAAGGATAAATGGTAAAAATAAAGGATATTCATAAATGAAAAGAAGTCTTTGAAATGAATCTATTATTATTCTACCAATGGTAACATGGCAACCCACATAATATTCTAACAGATTTTCTGTTTTCAGTCCTTTTTAATCTCAAAATAACAATTAACCCTACCACTAACAGACAAGATTGTAATCTCAGTTTCAGCTGACAACATCTTGAAGTACTTCATGATTATCTGGAAATAAACATCAATGCAAAGGAAAAAAGAATCTGTTCAGTGGATTTCAGAAGGATTACTAAAAGTCTCAGCTGGATAGTCACTTTTTTTGGATGATCTCCTACTTTACTACTTGCAGACAGTACTATATGAATAAATAGCCTAGAAAATACCAGGAAGCCATATCATCTTGATTAGTGATAACAAAGTTTAACTTTAGCACTCTTAAGTGGCTAGAAAATATTCCTAAATTTAATAATTTCTTGAACTCCAGAAACAGAAGTGCCAACAAATGCATTTTCTATGGAACAGTGATTTTGAAAACAGTTAATTTTAACTGTTTATGCACAAATCTTGACTTCCATACATGCCAGACTGTAAGCAATGTGAACAGACTGACTGAAACTAGAGATTAATCACAGCGTATAAAATCTGATAGAATTATGGACTAAAATATTAAATATCAAGGCAAAGAGCAGATATTCTATTGAAAACACATCTCATTTATCTCGTTTTAGAAAATGTGAAACTATCAGGGCCCCAAAGATAGTACCTAAACAAAAATGAGAAGAAAATTAAACATATATTTCAAAATTGCAAGTTTTATTATTTTTAATGAAAAAAAGTTGTAATTTTCTGGGAGAATATTTCTTTAAAACTGAAAGTTGTTCCACAGTATTTGCACAGTTGATGCTGTTCAATTGTGGATGCATGTTATTGAAGGAGGTTGCAAAGGCAGAATGGCTAGTTTCAATTAAGTGATCATACCTGTTACTGTTTTTGTTTTGACAGGACTGCTGGCATACTCAGAGGCTTGATTTGATTGCTGCCTTGCCAAAGGTGCACTTCCAACTGATGCTTCATCCTCTTTTTTTCGAGTTACTGACACACCAAGCGGAACAGTTCCTACAGACTGCTAGGAAAAGAAGTGCCTTGTGAACCACTCAAAACCAAACCACATTAATATTGAATTATGACACTGTCATGAGAAGCATGTCTTAAACTACATATTTTGAAATGTATAGAAGACAACTTGAAACAATGATTGGAGCACATATATTTTGAAAACAAATTATGAAACGCTACATTCAGACTTGCACTTGTAATTATTTTAGTCCTATTAGTCTGAGGAAAAGCTCTACAATAGCAAAAAAGTGAAATATAATTTATTAACTTAAAATACCATCCTTGTTAGCCAATCAAAATGCACATGAATAAACCTGGACGATCACCTGGAAAATTTTAGCCAGATAAGAAGATCACAAAGTTTTGCCAAGAAATTTATCAACCTTCATTAAACTTCGAAAGAAAAGATGCATTGTTATTTACACATTATTATATTTGTTCCTCACATTTTAAATATAAAATTTAATTCTGATCACTACTGATTTTGAATTGTTTTGTCTTTCAAGCGTATCAATAAATGACAAACTTCTCAAAACATGACACTGATAAACAAAACTGAAGGCATTAAAATCCAGTTTGAAGGACTGCATCCTTATTTTAAGATTAGAAAAGAGTGACGTGTATTAATCCACATGAGTTCTGGAACTGGAGGTCCATAAATGAATACAGTCTATTGGCTCTGTTGTTACTTTTTTTATTAACACAAGCTAGAAAAGACAAAATCATTGAAAAAATTGGATCCTCAATTTTGCTGTACAGTTGGCTGTTACCATTTTGCTGTAGCATTAGCTGCTACAGAAATTGTAGATGTATCCCAGTTGACAAAAGCAGAATATTTCTACCGTTGATTTTGCAGAGGGTTATCATTTAAAGATGACAAAAGTTTTTTCTAAAGATCAGATGCTAGGATTACATGCATCTTAATCAATTTTTGTGTAATTTAATTTTGTTGGTATTGGAGCGAAAATGTAATCCATATAGCTGGGTAATGAGAAACCTCACACGTTGCATTAGGAATCTCTGTGGGAAACAAATTCGTGTGAGGCGGGCAATGTGCTTGTAAATTTTCTCCAATAGAAAACAGATCACTGAATCAAGCAGTGTGCAACACGTGCACACATACAAAACCCCAAAACAAACAGAAAATTCATTTAATTGAATGAGAATGACTTCCAAACGCCTTCACCATTTTCCACTATAAAAGTAAATTAAAATAAGAAAGACAATTGGCTATTTAATCCTACTCCAGTGAAAACAATCAACTTATATATACAGTGGTATGCAAAGTTAATAGGAAAATACTAACGTCAATGACAAACAGAACTCTCATCTCTCCTCCTCCCTCTGAACGTACAGTCATCAGCTTTGTCTCCAAAAGCACTAAAAAGTCATTCTGGAATACAGTAACATGCCACTTTGGTGTCCTCTAGCCATAACAACAACAACAAAACCCATCAGCTTTGAAAAGACAAGTTTTACACCACAGAAATACTTCCCACGTGCATACAAAGAGAGAGTCTGAAGTTTTGTAAACTTTCGCCAGACACTTTACATCACTTATTTTCAAAATTTAGCAGTTTATCTCATACACCCTTTCATAAGGCAAAGCCATCTGCAGCTTTCCCATGACGGCAACTGTTGAGCCATAATTTGGCAATTCTGGACATAACACTGCAAGAACATTGACTTGCCAAAGTGAAGCAAGAGTTTCTGAAGAATGAACACAGACAATACAAGACAGTACAAAAGACAATAGGATGGAAATACTGTCTGAAGCAGCAGTATCTATTTCTGAACCACTGAAGAAACGGATCAGCAAAATATAATAAGTTACACCACTAGTCATATAGTGAAAAACATCAAGGCTATCACAGCCAGACAAAGCTGGAAAAAATTATGACCAAATATTGAGTGCTGATCTGGACAATGAAACAGCTGTTTCATCTTTGCTCACTGAAATCAAGCTTGATGTTGCTGTTGATGACGCCCAGTACAATCTTGTCAGGTTTTTGGCAAAAGATTTCTGGTTAAAAGAATGCAGAAGATGAAAGATCAACATTGAACTAGATGGAAAAGGATCATCAAGATCTGGGTTTTAGCCACAAACTGATGAGGAAATTGTGGCTTGGGAAATAGCAGATGACAAGAGCCCCACAGCTGTACGAGAAGATGAATCTGATGGGAAAGGAGACATTGCAGGCAAGTGTTATCATAAGCATTTCATCACAAGAATCCAAAAAGCTAGCTCTAAAGTAATTTGTAGTAAAGTTTAACACACCTACTTGGGATGTAAACTTTATGGTTACTAATTGGTAGTGTTATAAAGAAGATAAAGAACATTTAATAAAGTTATGGAACTACGGCAACTTTTATATGAGCTTGTTTTGTTGACACAAAGTCAAAATCAGATTCTGCTCTAGAATACTGACCACAGTTTTATCAATGCGATAAGGTTTTGTGGCTATTATACACTGAATACTAGATTAATAATAATTCATGGTACTCAAAATAAGAACATTTACTACTTTTCCAGTATAATTATTACAATTAACTTTTTAAGCAGTAGCTAAAAAACTACAGGAAAGCTATCCTTTTCCAAATTTAAATTTTATTGACACAAATAATCTAACACATTACATACCATGTTAAGTATGTGTACACAAAACACACACATACATATATGCTATTTATGCATGTAAATGGATTGACAGATACAGATTATATTTTTTATTTTACTTCATACTGTGCGGTCAACATGACTTTGGAAATGATAAAGATCTAAAATCAGAGAAAGGCACAGAACAATAATAGCTAAAAACCAACCTGCCAAAAATACCAAGCCTCAAGTATTTCCTGATCTATGTGGAGATATGCCAACTAACTGAAGCTAAAATATCCTGTAAAGAGGGCTAGTGGAAATTTGCCCCGGGTAGAATAAATTAATATTTTATTTTACTTGGGATTTTCAGTATTAATTATTTTATTTCTGAATTATAACTTCCCACAAGTGTGAGGCTGAAGAGAATGGAGGCAGATCTGGGAACATGAGAAATGCATTCTAAAGAAAAATTGACAAACTGAGCAGACAAGTAACTTTCATTTGAGGGATGCCTATACAGTCACCTCCCTGATAACAAACCAAAGGCAAATGAATATTCCAAGATAGGAACTTAAATATTATTACTGAAGGAAAAAATGAAGCACTGGCTTGTGAAATGTTGAATTCAGAAGCCTCAGCCCAGACATGGGTTGCCATCTTTGAAATCACACCAAACCCAGCTATCCCGGTGCCCGGTGGATGCTGCGTGCATGAAGACTGATGTGTACATGTGCAGTAGCTTGCATACAGCAAGCAGGAAGAAAAAATTAATGAAGTCTTTGGAATGGGGACAGATGGCAGTTCTACTCAAGACATGGTGCTCTGTGAACATCTAAGATCACTGTCATGCAATCGCTATCTGCCTCAGAGAAGAATATTTACCTATGCTGCAAGGCTGTCCAAGCTGTGCCAGAATGAGCTCCAACAGCAAGAAGGATCTACCTTGCCCACCTTGCAACAGGTTCTAATATCATGAAATCACAATCTCTGCTTGACTACAGAGTTACGTTTCATTGTTTTGATTTCTGAAATTAATAATATAAGCACACACCTAAATTGCTTCAGAGAGCTCAAACAAAACTAGGCATTAGGCCTAGTTCCCAATTAAAATTAAATTAATAAAATTACATTAAATTAATTAAAATTAATTAATTAAAAACATTAGGCATGCCTAACCCTTAGGGTTCACAAAAGCACCTTCTTTCCTGGCAGATGAACTTGCTAATTCAAATTAAATTCTGTGACTGCTTCAGGTAGGAATTTCAGATATGCTCAGAAAAGTGCTCTGCTGGGATAAAAGACTAATCACTGATCAGCTGTAATCTTTCCAAACTTATGTGATGAACTGATGTCAGCCAAGAACCCCCGCATTTTCATCAACTGATGAAAGCATAGGTTCGTCAATCATCAAGCAGGGTAAGATTTCTTTTGAATTTGCTGCTCCAACTTCATGGATTACTACCAGTTACTGGAAAAAATGGTGGTAACAAAAACATATTTCATAAAAGTCTAACAAATTCAGGGAACAGAAAATGTTATTATTTTTAACACCCAGATAATGTAAAATACGCAATTTTGATGTGGAACATATGGAGGAGCGCAACGTATCTGGCTCATACTAATTTTCTTTGAGCAGTGACACAGACTGTATACAAAGCAGAATAACTACATTTTTATCAGATTTCTTCTTAATGCATTAATTCTTAAAATGTAGAGCTGAAGAGCAAGACATTTACATTCAAAAAATCTACCCATGTGTGCAACACAATATTCTTTATAAATATTGATATTTTTAAACCTTTCTTAGTATTTCCATTTCACAGGTATAACACAACAAATGTCAGTACAAAAAAATTTACCATTGAATAATTTTCTCCAGAATGCTTTTCACCTGTTCTTCAGGTTTTGAACTAAAGGAGAGCAAAATCAAAAAGTGAATTTTTTAATTTATTCTTGCCATATTAAGTACTAAAAAGTTGAGAATCAATCCATTAACCATTAGAACTATCACATAATAGGTTAATAACAAGATGGGGTGACAAATTCACTCTTTTTTAACATATACATTAAGTAGCAAGTTCTGGTGAGTGTATTTTTTCTTTTAAACTAACAATTTGGTGTAAGTACCTTAATAGGCATGATGTTCAGAAGGTGCTGAATTAAAACATCTCTAAGATGTCTCTAGCTTACAAGTCAAAACCTGAGTATTTTGAAAATAAGTTTTGAACTTTAAGTTACTTTGGTTTTTAAAGTTTATTCCTTGCTCTGCACCAAGACTCAAGTTATTTCAGCTCAGTATTATCAAAGAATGAACTAATAAAACTTAACAAAATCAATTCCACCAATTGCTGCCACTTTAATATACATTATGTCTTGGGTGTTCTGGATTTTTTGTTTTTTAACCCATGAGC